ATTTTAGCTGCCGTCTGACAGGGGTATAAAACGTGCTTCGACGAAATGGCATTCTATCAACCGTAGTAAACCCCTGAAAAACAAGAACCAGGTCAAGTTGAGTCCGGGTTTTTTATGTCCTTTCGGCGCTCCTCTAAACGCACAGTGTCCGGTTTCTAAACGCTATTTCTATTTTGGCACGGAAATAAGGCAAAATACGCCATATTTATTCGCACCGGGGCAATGCATTATAGTCTTCTATTTCCAGCAATCTGCTTTCCGCCATGCTTCCATCATGACACGGGATCTCTCGGCGGCTTTGTGATTGATTTGGGAGAACCGGGGGGTCCTCGCGATGTCGCGGTGTATGTGTGTTGACAGGAGACCGTTCGGCAACTTTGAGCTGACGCCGTCTGAGCTGATCGTTGGCTGGAATGTACGGGGGCCTGAAGAAAGGAAGAGGGAAGGGGGTAGGGCTTTTGGGAAAATGAAGAAGAAAAGCGGAGGCACTCGGTTTAGAGAAGCTCGCTTTAGCGAACGCCGTTTTACCAACCCCAGTTTATCGAATCCCTTTATAGAGAACCCAGTTTAAAGAAAATGGCAATGAGCTTCCTTATAGCGAATTCGGCCGCCACGAAGCGGCGTGTGCGGGTAAATCATTTGAGTTAACATTTTTGTAATGCCCCGCCGTAGACTTCCGCCGCTTTGCGGCGAAAGCGCTGCAGAGGGCTTGGGTTAGCACGCGCACCAGTGATACACGCGAGAAGTAGGAAAGCCTTTTTTAAATACTGTTCCCTTTTTGGTAAACGGCGTTTCTCTAAACTGAGTCTCTTCTTTCTCTAAACCGTGTTTCGATAAAACGAGCCCGTTCTCTAAAACGTGCTTCGATGAATTGGCATTCGATCAACTGTAGTAAACACAAGAAAAGAGGGGGAAAAAGGGCAGCGAGTGACGTATAAGTTTGTCCTGTGAAATGAAGTTTTTAGCTGAGGAAGTGGCTGAGTGGCTAACAAGGGTGCCTACATGTTTCCGCCGCTCCGCTGTTTAGGGTGGCGACAACGTTTGTGATACCTGTGGCCGACAAACCGGTGTTGCCTACCTCGTCACCATGGCAACCTGCGCTGTTTTCGTCGACCATTTTGTCACACTCGCCGATCCTGTGCTCGAACTACGCCGCTAATTGTCGTCAGCGCTAGGGAGCGCCCACCGCTCTAGTTCCAACGGCGAGGCCCCGGCGTCCGATGCCGGTCTGATGCGTTTTATTTTGTCGCGGAAATTCGCGTTTCGTTAAAAGCAACGCACATTTCCTGCTCGCAACTTCCAAATATGAAACACCCGAATAAAGAGAGCGACAGCCACCACGACCGCCATCCTGCTGAGTCTCCGACTCCTCTCGTGAAGGGAAACGGAAGTGGTCTCACAGTGTTGCCGGTGTTTTGAGACTACAGGCATTCAACGTCGTTTATGTTTAGCGAAATAAGAAGTGGAAAATTTGGCGGTGGGAGAGCATCTCTGAAAGGGTAACAAGAAGCTAGCACCACTCTAAAGCGGAGCAAAAACTTTGCAGGCACCGCAGGGCTAACCCGTCTCAGCTGAAGGCTTCATAAACAGTACAAAGCAAGCCAAGTTTTTTTTTTCGTTTGAGGCTTCGTCTGTTTTGTTCAGTGTTTTGTCTTTTGTTCGTTACCCCCCCCCCCCCCCCCCCCTACTCTCGTTTGCAACTATGCTCAATTTATTTCTTACGTACGTAAATCAGGGAATCAGGGAGCGACTGAATGATTCCGCGCCGGGCTGCTGGCCGTACCATTATGTAGATGACTACCTAATCATGCATGAAGAGCAGACAGACCCTGAGTCTATCCTGCAGGCCTTCTCGTCGGGTCCCGCAGACCTCGTCTTCAAAAAGGAGGACACCTCCGACGGAACTCTCCAATTCTTAGACCGGTACTTAGACCTGCGTTTGGCGATCCATCCCGGGGGAATCTGCTGGGAGTTTAGGCAAGGGACGGAAGAAGCCAGTTCTGCATTACGCTAGCGCTCACTCCAAGACCGTTAATTAAACCAGGGCTTGTAAGGTCCCTTATGACGTCAGCGCGTTCTAGATCCTGCCCCCGTTATGCGGAGAATATTGTCCGGCTGCAGACGTGGAGTTTGAGGAAGGCTGGCTTTCGCGACGACTTGCTGGACAACTCGCTCAAGAAAATAAGTTTCGCCCTTCCTAGTTCAACACCGGCACCCAGGCAAGGGGAGGGAAAAGTGGCCGTCATTGCTTAAATACACAACACAGCGCATCGGCTAAAAGCGCTCGCGTCTAGATTCGAAGTAGGGGTGGCGTTCCGCTGCGAATTCAAATTCAGTTAACAAAATGGCTAATTGCACTCCCCTAAGTAAGACCTGCTCTAAGATGCGCGGGCATCAGTTCGTCCCCTGTAAACAAGAGAGGGTCTACTCTATCCCGTTCCCCTGCGGTGGAGAAAGCATAGGCCGGACTGGCAGGTGTATCAACGACCGCCTGCGGGAGCAGACAGGCGCGGAGAGGCATTATGGGACACGCTGTCGGAAACAACGGACGGATGGAGATTCCTTGCTCTCTTATGTCATGATGTAGCCAAAGAAAAGATGGAGGCGAGGAAAGGCAGCGCGTTGCCTTCTGGGTTGGGAAACTCACTCTTGAAACCTGGGAAGCTAGAGTCCACCGAGACTGAAAGGTAACGCAAACCATTGTCTGAAATGGGGAAGAGAACTTTCTCCTACTCCGCGCCCTTTCCCTCTCAAAATTTCTCTTTTCCCTCGCTTCAATTGGATCGGGCACGACACGTAACAGTTGCGTTCTTATGACCCCGCGCGATTCACTGGTCTGCTAGACACCAACGCCATCACTGGGCGAGGCGTAGCGGTGGCTCCTTTGCTTACGGTCCGGCCGTTTTCGTTTTTTTCCTTTCTTTTTTACCAGGACCTCGACGACAACGCGATGCCATTATGCAGTGCTAAGGATTGCACAAAAAGCATTGCGAAAGAAGACCGTTTTTGCCGTCCCGACGGGAAAAGAAAATCTTCAGTGACGAAGATATGGCGTTTTAGTAAATAGTTTTGGCTCTCCCGCTACGCTACACGCTAGAGCGACGACGCTACTGCGAATGCGCGCTGCTAGCGGAAACACTGCGGAGCTGCGGAGGCTAGCAGAGGCGCGCTATCGGACCAAAATAGCGAGGTGCGTAGCGCGGCGTGCTAGCGTGGGTCTCGTGAGACGAGTCTTGGCGGGATAAGGGCTGGGGAGGCCAGCGAGGGACGCAATTGAAGAAGACCGCCACGCCGCGACAGTCCGGTCTGTGTGCTTCGCTATCGTGGTTCTGAGGGGTGGGTTACATCCTACTGCTGCGAAAACTAGCCGCGACAAATCCGTTCCACGACTGCAACAGGTAGCGATTTATGGCTAACGTCAAGGAGTCTAAATAGTAGGAGGGGGTGCCTTGCAATAGTTGTGAAGCCTAGTCATCAAAAGTTTAAACGATTTTGTGGCCAACGTGACCGTCGACCTCAGTGGCGTAGGGGGGGGGGGGGGGGGGGGGAGTTTGGGGGGTCAGAACCCCACCCCACCGATATTCCGGGGGGGGGGGGGGGGCACTCGAGAGCCGGAGACCGCTTCCAGCCCGTATCAGTCGGTTCTCCTGCCTCCTTCTTCACCATTTTGACATACTGAAAAAAGCGAGGATCTTTCGCATTGTTTTCTTATTTCACATGTGGGATTTCGCGTGTTGTATCGTCGACGTGTGGCGATTGAATCTTCTTTTTCCGGCGTGTTTTTCTGTCCAAAAACCGGCCAGGTCCCGCCGGGCCACGCGTATTGTAAAGGGCGCCGCGTCGGCTGCCTGCGGGGCCATATGGTCGCGACTCGCCGCGGCTTGTGTGACACTCCCTGGTTGGCACTAGTTAGCACCTCGCCGGTCCCGACTGGGACCCTAACTTGACTTGTTTATGGCCTCTGCGACTCCCATTCGGGGGACGCTTCTGCTCGACGCTTGGGCGCTACCACTTCTTAGAATCCGGAAATGAGTTTGCCAGATGCCCCAGTTGAGCGTTTTTGGTGTTGACTTTGTTTGGAGCTGGGGGCAACGAGTGTCTTCGCCGCAGTGACGATCATTTTTTTTTGTGTGTGTGTGTGAGTGTTTCGCGATTGTAGGGGAGCTGGTGTGTTTTGTTTACTTTATTAGCAAAGAGCGCCGTTCGGTTGAAACTGGGAAACGGTGCGGCAGTCGACTTGGGAGGTTCGAGAGCGCAACCCGCTCTTCCTATCGGCTCCGGGCGTAACCTCGGGCACCGCGGTAAAGGGGAAGACCCGTCTGGACACGGAACGTCACCTGCTCCTGTGATGCTACTCTGCATGCGGTCTTCCTCTGCCGGAATACCCCAGTGCGTCGACCGTCTGTGACGCGACAGCGTCTGAAGCTAACAACCACCGCCTCTGGCGCACCGCGGCCACGTCGAGACAGAATCCATCGCAAGCAACCGACCTCAGGTGCTCTCACGCCTCTGCGAGCCTCGTCGTGCCGGACTGCGCCAAAGTGCGGGTTACCCACCCGATTGCGGCACAACCTTCGTCCGTGAAATTCCAGAAAAAAATTGCGAAGTAAAGCAAAGTGTCAGGAAACCGCGGACGACGTGGCAACTCCAAGACCATGGGGAGAAAAAGTAAAAGCCGGGGCCTGTGGCCTGCACACACTATCATGGAGATCTCCTCTCTTCCTCTGTGTAAGGACGGCGGGAAAGATCCCCTTCGAGAGGTAATAGCTTTTAGACCCCGCCAGCCTTGGTGCTTTCCAATAGGTGACCGGCGTTTTGGCAGGAAGTGTCGTCACCGGATACTCGATATCACATGACTTCGCGCTTCCGGTTCGAGCGGTGGTGCGGGCGCATTGACAGCCGTGCCGTGAGAGCTATCCGCTGGGCTGTATTCCAACAACAAAACGATGGTTCATTGCTCTGCGGTTGGTTGTTTGAACGCAAGCCACAAAGGAAAGAAGATGTTTCGATTTCCGTGGAATGAAGCGCGGAAACTACGGTGGGCTGTCGCTGTGAAGCGAGCAACGCAGCGAGGTGACCTGTGGCAACCGAGTGTTGGAGCACGTTTGTGCGAGGCCCATTTCGTTACAGGTGAGTAGTGCCGTGTTCTGTCTTCCTTCAAGTAGGAGCCGCACGAAACAACGTTTTCTAAGCCCCATTTTTACCACCCTGGAGGAAAGAGTCAAATAACCCGAGAAGCGGACGTTGATTACTTTTTGGATCAAACAGTACATGGCGTCTGCGAGATCGATCAAGGATGGTTATTAAAATAGAAGCGCTTGTTCACGCGAACGTATGTTATTTAAAATGAAATTTAGTGCTCACATTTTGCCACACTTGAGCGCTTGTGTATACTTTAAAGAATGCTCATAGCCGACAGACAGTGCGCGTGGCCAGGGCGGCTCGCTCGCGTACTGTGGCCTTATCTCATCATTTGTTATTACCGATGCCAGATCAGCTCAAGATTTAAGTATAGCGCTCGTTCTCGAAGTCCTCGAGGCCGTATGAGAGCGAGCCCGCTTCGTTCAACTCGCGGTGAGCGGTAAACGTTTATCAAAAAACAGGTTTTATAAAAAACAGTATTTACATAAAAGAAGGCAAACGTGCCCGCCTCGTACAGATATCTTTGTGCGAGTATGCAGCACGTAGATTCTAGGACCGCACACATGTTTACAGTCTTTTATGTAACGTGCTTGTTTCGTTTATGAATATCCTGTCTTGACTTCATGTGCCTTTCTTTATGCAGGATCACCGAACACCGATCCTAATCATGTGGATTACATCCCATCACTCTTTTCCTACGATGCTCAAACAATGCAACACTCAGAAAAGAAGACGAAAAGGTAGCTCACAATTTATTTGTATCTCAGTGTCAACACAATCTTTGATTTCTCCGCAATTTTATTTACCAGCTACCAACGGCACGCACTGATCACTGGGAAGCGATCATTGGCGTTGCAGCGAGCTCAAACAGCATCACAAGTAAAGCAGGCACAAGCGAGCACATCCAATGTGGAGGAGTCTGAGCAGGCTGTGGAGTGCCAACAATCTGTGGAGACTAACTCGCCACAGTATGTTTGCCTGTTGTGCGTCCTGCAGTACCTTCGCTTGGTGTCTCATCAGTGATGTTTCATTTATTTCAGATGTCCTATACTAGGTGTGGAGGTGCAGACAGAGCCAATTTCTGCTCGCTGCACAAACTGCAGCAACCTCATGGAGGAAACTAAGACACTCAAGGCGGAAGTTGCTTCACTGAAGAATAAGCTGGAAGCACTTCGAGACAGGCAGACCCTGAACAAGGATGTCACTGCCATGCGTGATGACGTGGTGCTATTTTATGCAGGTAACTTTATTTGAGTGGTGCACTGGGACACGGGCCTTGTTATTCATGACTTCATTGTTTGTCCTGTCTGTGAATCTGATGCCACTTTTTGAGGTCAACGACAACACTACAGCAGATTGCCCTCTCAGTTTGCCAAAAGTGGAGAAAATGGTGTTTGCTCTATTTTTCAGGATTGCTTGACATAGTGTCTCACTGTGCAACCTGTACGCACGTAGCTGCCTTGTTTGTATTTTGTCATGACAGAAATCGACATGTATTATACTTTGCAGGCATAACAAAGGTGCTTTTCATGGTGATTTTGAGCACTCTGACACCCCTCATGCCTGCTGCCCGAAATGGCTTTCCACTGGGTGCTCAGCTGTTGATGTTCCTGATGAAGCTGAGACACAACATGGCCTTTCAAGACCTTGCTTACCGCTTTGAGGTCTCCCCTAGGACGGCAAGCCGAACCTTCAGAGCCTGGCTGGAAGCTATGGCACAGCTCTGCCGGGGGTTGATTGTCTTCCCAAGGCCCGAGGTAGCTCGAAGCTGGCTCACGTTGAAAGAGCGCGAGCACTTCTCCAAGTTGCGAGCTGTCATTGATTGCACCGAAGTCTCAGTATCAAGGCAAGTTGCTTATGGAAAGTTTACGCTGCATCAAAGTTAAAATATGAGCATTTTTAAAAGTAAAACCACTCAGTTGTAGCATCCAAGGTGTATTTTGGAGAAGCACCTTCAGCTTGGTTTGCTACCTGCTGACGCTGCAGAACATACGCTTCTTGGGAAACAATCTTTAAAAAGAAACACCAGCTGTTCTTGTAGTATTCGACAGGAATACATGTTTGCTTTCAGGCCTCTGAACTTGGACACACAGCAGGTTGTGTGGAGTAGCTACAAACAGAACTCTACTCTGAAGTATCTAGTGGCAGTCAACCCCCATGGAGCAGTCGTGTTCGTCTCGAGGGCATGCGGAGGGAGGGTCTCCGACAAAGAGCTCACCATCGCCAGCGGTAGTTATTGTTTTAGTACACCTAATTTATCTAGTTTTAGTTTGCTAGCTACAGGAGATAAACATTAAATTTTTTCAGGATTTATGGACCTTCTCGAGGCTGGTGACCAAGTGTTGGCTGACAGAGGGTTCCTGTTGCACGAGGAATTTTTTGAAAGAAATGTGCAACTAATCACGCCGAGGTTTAGGACGAATCGACTCCAGCTGACGGTACAGGAGGTGACCAACTCTCGGAGAATCTCCTCTTCCCGGATCATAGTGGAAAGATCAATCGGCCACTTTAAGAAGTGGAAGATAATGACTGGAACTGTGCCACACACACTCGTCAACTTCTACGACGAAATCAATGTTGTGGTGGCTGGACTGACCAACCTCTCCCCAACACTGGTGAAGAATGGTAAGAACAATCAAAAACAAAACATAACAGTTCTTCGCATCTGACTGCTGATAACTCAAATGAGCTTGTTCTAAAACCTAAATAGTTTTGGTGATTGCATTTGGTTCACCAAAGTTAAACGGCAACGGCTTGTTCATGCTAACTGTGTCGCAATGTGTACACTCAGAACCAGGTTTCCAAAGAACATTTATGCCATGTGTAATCCTAGCTAAGGTGTCGAAATGTAGTCAAGACTATTTTTTGCAGACATTTCTAGAAATTGCATGAGGCCATGCGAGGCACTCAAGCAGTTGCTTAGTGGCATGTAACTGTAGACTCTCGACACATCTTTGCACTTTTATGAAGTGATACACTGCTGGCCGTGTTCCATCCCAGATAATGACAGTGCTAGTGTGAAACTTGTACTGCTGTCTCTTAAGTTTTGTGACGCTTGTTGGGTGTGCTCCATGGTTTGAAGCTAGTCTATTCATGGCCATGCATCTGCACGAGAAGAGTTCTGGTTTACAAACATTTTATTCAGAAAGATGAAAACAGCTCATACACATTTCAAAACAACATACGAAATGTCATGTAAACGTAAATATTTACCAGAAGTCTGTAGTAGTTGGGGTAATTATTATTAGGAAACGACGAGCAACCAATCCGTAAATTAGGGGCCCGATGTTTCAAGGCCTGCTCGGCCTGTTCTTCAGGGGCGATTTTGGATGAAAGGAGCCACACTCCTTTTCCTCTATGATGATGGCAAAAGCGCACTGTCTCTTCTTCGTCTACGGCCGTTTTTTTGTTACGTGGTGGAGCCTGTTGACATTTACACATGGCAACGCACCAAGAGACCTATTGATTATTTTTTGCCGTGGTATCGATCTGCTGAACGGTCTGAATGTGCATGTTTACAATCAAAGCACATTCACACCACGCCAAAAAACATCAATAGGTCTCTTGGCGCACTGCCATCGGTGTATTTAAACAGGCTCCACCATGCGGAAAAACAAACTGTCGTAGATGAAAAAGAAGGGATAGTGCGCTTTGGCCACCACCATGGAGGAAAAAGAAGTTTGCGACTTTTTTCGTCCATAGTCGCCCGTGAAGAAGAGGCGGAGCTAGCCTTAAAACGTCAGGCCCTTCGGAAATGTGGTCCTGGTCGAAGTGTTCTATTGCGACTGCCACGAACTAGCTTTGGTGGAGGTAAACGTTTTCTAATAATGAAATGTAACCTAGAAATGCGGTATTTGTACATGACATATGAGAGCCTAACTATCCAGAACACAATTTGCAGCTCGAAATTCGTTTTCTATCCGCCCGAAAGCTGGCCGGTTTGAGTCACGCTCACTCTCCGTGGTCACGTGTCGTTGTGGGTGATCAAAAGCTCATTCGATATTAAGAATATAAAAGAAATATGATAACCATTTTCTGTGGCTTCTGGAAAACCGCAAATACATTGATTGAGTAAAAAAAAAAAAAAAGTTACAGAGCCACGTGACTTTTGCCAACTCTCTCCTCTATGTCTTCGTCCCCAGTCTAGTTTCGGTTTTGAGCAATTGCGTTTTTTTAGTTTATTAAAACTATGTATGACGCTGTAGCAAAAAATGAATTAGGTAGTCTTATGACACCTTAATCAATCGCCTGGCAAAATTTTTGGGGGGTGTCCATGTCTCTTTAAACTGCATTTTTGAATGGGCCTTCTATCGGGGAAGAATGAAATGTGAATAAAGGAGCGCGTGGCTCGCGGTACAGGCTGCGCCACCTGGAAGTGAACCTAGGGGCGAGGGTGCGTAGCCTACTTCGATGTGTTCACGCCCCTCGATTGGCGCTGAAAGCTGTCACCGCTATCTTTGCCTGCTCGGTGAGTGCGGCGAGCTTCTTTGCACCGCACGCGCTGAGCCAGCAAAGATAGCGGTGATAGCTTTCAGCGCACTAAGAGGCGCACTGCTGAAGCTTGGGGAGAGCAGAGGGAGGAGCGTGAACACGTCGGAGTAGGCCACGCACCCTCGCTCCTAGGCTCACTTCCAGGCGGCGCAGCCTGTACCGCGAGCCACGCGCTCCTCTGTTCCCATTTAATTTTTCCCCGATAGTACATGCTCAGTTGGTAGATCACATAAGAATCATTCTTGGAAGGATAATGTCGAGCATAAAACTGTTTAGGCTGGCTATATTACTGTCCATAAACGACTCGTCTCTGAAAATCCTCAAGATTGGGCCTCGTCCCTTTGGCAGATGATAGTAAAAATAACATGTGGAAATGTCCATCAAGTTCAAATGAAGCTGTGCCTGAACTTGGTAATAATAGGCATGTGTCAACTTCAACGTCCCTTCTTTTGTAAAGCAAAAATCTGACATTTTCTTTCCCGCTTCTAACAAATCTTTCGGCTCGCAGTGTTGCAAGACATAAGAGCACTTTACCTCCACCAAAGCTGGTTCGTAACAGTCGCAATAGAACACTGCATCTGGGCTACACCCAAAAAACGGATAATCAGGGTGGATCATGAGGCCACAATCCTCAAGCCTCGCATTTGTGTGGGAAGTGCTGAGGTACCCCAAAAGCTTCCTTTTTGCCTCAGGCTCAGTTCTGATGCCGTACTGCACGGCTGGGGTATTCAGCGGCCGTGGCTTGAGCATTTTGTTCACGAGTGTAGCACACTTTACTCGCTTGGACCGACATATATCCTTGAAAATCGATGCAGTAATACGGCCCTTCCGGTGTCGAAACCATGCAGGACACCCATGCTGGTTCCGTGTTGTAACCTCTATGCGGTCTGCCTCCTCCTTTGTTATTGACAAGTTTGTCATCAGAAACTCTGAGAGTTCTTGTACATTTTCACTCACACAGCCTCTGCAGCTGAGCTCCCTGAGGCTGAATGCACAGAGTGGCTGCTCTAGAGTCACTTTGAATTCCCGGGCTTTCTGCTGTGGTTGCTCAGCATCTTCTTGCCTTGCCCGGCACTCGGTCAACGTGAAGACCCTTGCGGTTGGTATCACCTGAACAGACAGTGTTAACTTTTAACCAACATCGGTCAACGTGAAGACACTTGCAGGTGGCATCACCTGAACAAACAGAGTGTTTACTTTTAACCAGCACGCTAATGAATGGAAGCAGAAATTATTTAGGACTTGATGCGAAATCTCGACATCTGGCAAGTTTTAGTAAATAGTAGGACTAATTTGAATCGCTTGGGTTCTCTTGACGAGCACCACAACCTTTGGTACATGGTGTTTAGGGGCAATAAGCTTTGCGGGAAGCAAAATCTTTTGAACCTGCAAATCAGGGATCTTTAAGTCAGTTTCAATCTTGATCACACAAAAGATGTTCTGCAGACAGCATTCGAACACGAGTCGCTGACATTTGAAGATTAAATGTTGTGTTACTCACTCCTTGAACTCGTTTCAACATAAGTAGCTCAGACAGTTCAAGGAGAGTTCAGACAAATCGCCTTTATACGAGCATCATGGTGATTTGCATTTGAATGTCTGCAGACTGTCTTTCATAAGATGGTATAAGCAGTGTGATCCCGGCTTTTGGCATGCACTCTGCCTCAGTGCTAACAACTCACTATAACGCTAATGGATGTCGATCAACATTTGTATGTTCTGTGTAGCATTCAACACGATTATGCTTGGATTGCTAGATAGGTGGCACTTTGCCCACCTCTTTCAGTCTTTCCAGAAACAGCTCAACATTTGGCACCCCTTTAAGCTTTGGGAGTTGCTGCTCTCGAGGATGTCCATTCTCGTGTGTATCACGCCTGTGGTGCACATACACAATGTCCTTGGATACCTTTGGTGTTACCTGCAAATAAATAAGTGAGAATATAAGAGAATGCTCGTAAACATGCTAGTTTGCTCTCGGAGTTTAATGTGCACAATGATACACACCTTTTTCAGGGTAGGCTTCACCCACTTGCAAGGAAGATCTGTCGGTGCTTCCTCCTCCAAGGCCTCTTGGGTCCAAAAGTCGATTGCAAAGCAGACAGCCGCAGCGTGGCTACAGACTCGTCCCAGCCTGTAAATAAATTAACAAGGCATACTTAAATGGCAAAATGTTTTTCAGCTATAGCCCGTCTTTGGCATAAGCATGCAGCAGAGCATGCTTAATGTCTCCATGTTAGAACTAAGGCCCGTTCACACACATGCAACCAAGTACGACCAATAAAGACCAGACCAGTATTTAAGCCTCTTACGACGGCTTAAGACTTTCTCCGCACCAGCGCATCTGGTCCTCCGCCTTTGCAGGAGGCTTAAAAACTGGACTTGTCTCTCGGTCGCAAGTGTGCGAACGACGCTTTAGGGCACCCAATAATGCGCTCAGTTTTCCTGAAAATGAAACATTTAGTCTTAAAAAGTAAACATCCCTTCTGCGCTAAGAAAATAAAGTGTTTCAACGTGTCAAAGCCGAAGTGTCCTTACTGAATAAAAGTTATTGATACTCACTCATTTTTCATTTGTGCTTTTTATAGGACAGTCATATGCGCAGAGGCTGTGTTTTCCAGCTCACGCAAGTTCTTTCACGTCTAATCAACTTAGTCTGTGTAGGAACCACAAATAGCATTGTTTTCTACCGGTACGCAGAAAACTTTAGTTTTCTACGTACCGGTCTTTGCTCGGAGCGCAGTCGAGAGCGGTTGACCCATCGGCGACCAAAATTACCCACGGGGTTCCAAAACAAGATCTTTTACCTTGTCGGTCGCGTAACCGTGACTTAAGTATGTGGTTTATCTCCTATGAAGCACTGTTTGCAGACAAAACTAAACCAAGAAAATATTGAACGACATCTGGTCACGAAGCAAAAAAAAAGAAATGGTGGGGGAAGCATACTAAAATTTTTATCGTCAGATATTTCACGAAGCGATCGAAAAGATGACTTGTGATGTTTCCATGTTGTAGTATTGCCTAAAAATGAAGTTTCGTAACAGACAAACTGTTTGCAAGCGATATCGTAGTCTGCTCCATGTGAGTCAAATTAGATCTTGCTCTTGCTGCAGTGGCGACTAGAATCGGACCAGAGTAGATGCCGCAGGGACAACTCCGAAAGGGAAAGAAGCATAGTAAGCATGAGTTTTCACAGCCCTATAAGTGGTATTCACTGAGCCTGCAGATTCGATTTTGCCAGGGAGTGCCACCGTCGAGGTCGTGGTTTGGGTTTGACTGGCTCGGGTGTGCGGTCGTCTGTTGGTAGTGTGTGTCAATTTCATATCGTTAAAGAAACTTTCTTGAACAGAAGAAAGGAAAAAAGTTTATCTCGGGGGCAGGCCGTTTTAATTTTCCTGTTGCCGCCGAGTAATACGTGTAAAGGCTGAACCGCATGTAAGCGATTTAGCAAGCGACGAGACGAGCGACAGCAAGCCACTTCGTTGTCGCTTGGTCAGTCACGCAACGAGGCACACCGTACGAAAGCGGCGGGAGCAAGCGACCAAGGCGATGGGCTACGATCTAGAAATCCAAAAACTGAGCGACGCGACGAGCGACTGAGAGAAATCTCCGTAGCTCCTCGCCGACTCCCGTCGCTGTCGCAGTCACTTGCTAAATCGCTTACATGCGGTTCACTGTCACTCGTCGCATAGTTTTTGTATTTTAGAAAACTTAACTCATCGCCTTGGTCGTTTGCTCCCGTCGCTTTCATGCGGTTTGCCTCGGCGCACGAGTGACCGAGCGACAGCGAAACGGGTCACCGTCGCTTGCCTCGTCAGGTGCTCGAACCACATGCGGAAAAAGCCTATTGACGAAGACTGCAAAAGTGGGCTTTTTCCTCATCCCAAACGTGGTGGCTAGCCAGTGTGAGACGACGGCAGCCTTATAACTTCGAAGAGGCACCGCGGAAACGGCTGACGATCTGCTGCACTTGTTGAAGTGGTTGCAGAAGTGTGTACACGCGATGCAGATCGGTTGTTTTGGTCACAACCGACGCAGTCGCTGTGACCGCTAATGAAAAATGGGCCGCATTTTTCAATACCTGTGCACTCGGTGAGCCGCACGGTATATTTCTGCACAGGAACGAACACTGAAGGCAAGGCATACGACACGGAGGCAATGGAGCTACACGATTACACGGCCGTAGTAAAAAAAAAATAAAAAAAAATACACACACACACAAGAAGCTAGCAAAACAATACGAAAATAATCACACCGTGCTTCAAAAGCACCAAAGTAGAACAATCTCAGTTGTTGCAAAAGAGGTACTGCCGTCGACACGGAGCGCAACACGGAGCACTGCATGGAGCCGATGGAACAATGCGGCTGTGGGGGACAACTCCGATAAAGACAAAACAAACTAACACACCAAAAATATTCCTACGGTGCTTCAAAAGCACAAAAGTATAAAAATAACCCTTAGTTTCGCCCAAAAAGACTCTTTAAAGTTGTAAAATGCTGCTAAACCCCGCTGAAAAGTATGGCCAGACGACACCCGACATGTAAATGGGATAGAAAGAGACCTCGAAGATGGCGACCGTGGTCGCCGATGCCAGGGCACCTAGCGAGTGACAAAAAGTGAATGTTGCCTATTACATTCTTGACCAAACTTATTGACCTCCGTCGTCCACGGAGCCACTCGCGTTGGTTGTGCGTTTCACAGAAACAAAAAAATGACGTCAACAACAACAGCTTACCGGGCGTGCAAACATATTTCATAAAACCGCCCTACGGAGTGCTGTCCAACACACAACTGCAAAGGTTTAGGGTAATGCATGCAGCCTTACCCAGCCATGCAGGTGCACTGGGCGTCCAGGATTTCTCCAGATGACCTCACGGCTATCCAGCAGGTGTACGGCTTCCCTTGCCGCTGGGATGGACTGACCTCCCCTTTCACAATAGATATGCCACTCTCCAGTTGTGCAACTTTGATTGCATTTACTTTTCCTGCAGAACAGAAGCAATAATTCATATCAGCACTGTAGTCATGAGCACTCTGAAAGGAAAGCAAAGCAGAAAGTCGAGCTCTTGTACACGTGCCTTGGCTTTTGCTGCAGATAGAGTATTGTACAGCAACGCGTAAAAAATAAAATGATTGTAACAACATTGCTAAAAATGAAAAAAGTGCAGACACGGACAAGAACAAAAAGGTAGACAACAAAGCGCACCATTTGTCTACCTTCTCATCCCTTTCCATGTCTTTAATTTTTAACCATGAAATACCAACTAGCCCAAACTTTCAGGATAGTCAACATCGCACATAGCACTTACCAGACTTCACGTACTGAAAGGCTTCAAGAGATTTGAAAGCTTTTACAGAGTCGCCATCGCAGCACATCTTGTCTAGGAAATATGCACAGATGTGCTCGTACATAATCGGTGGCCACAGGTTTTCTCCTTCGGCATAGGCCTGGTTGCGGCTTGTCCCCAAGTGGAAACTAACACTGGATTCGCTGGAATATGCAACAAGAAAATAAAACAGTTGCTGCAGTTTTATCACTATGACACCAGCGACTGCGGGAGGTTCTGCTCTGTGCATACAATAAATATTGATTTAGAGCTTGATCGTTCATTCATTAAAACCTTGGTCAACAAATAACAACAACATTAACCTAATCCTCACGTTACTCTAACACAAGCAGGCAGCACATATATCGTGGAAATGAAGCAGTCGTTTGTAGCCCATCTCAAAAGCATTTCACGTTCGTGAACCGTTTTGATACTCGCTAGCATTAAAAGAACATGCGGCGTGACCGTCATACACACAGGGACACGCTTAGTCCAAGTATTCGGATACGCGAGTGTCCAAGACCGACGGGCAGCGCGCAATCGCACGTCGCCCACACGTTTTGACTTGTGTATACCCTTCGGAGCGCGATTAAAGTCGCCAGGGCACCGACCGGGCACTGCACCTAGACGCCTCCCACAACGTACGTTTTGGCATCCATGCCAGGTTGTGATGCGGTATAAATATTAATAAATCGAATCACTATCGAGCACGTTGGCTCAAACGAGAACGTAGCTAATAGAGCTCAAAACGTTTATGCGACGGGCGAAATAGGCTTGTGCCACACTACCGCACCGCGCCCTCTTGAAATGGATGCTTCCGCGTACTGACTCATCTACCATGACCGTAAAAGTAACTTGAGATGTTCGGGAACTCAAAACTCACCAAGCATGAGAGGGTGGCACAGATTCAATCTCTCCAGCAGCGTCTAGTAAATCGGGCTCAACAGCCACAAACACGTCCGCGGCCGCCATGATTCTGCTAGCGACGAACCGGAAGTGAGAATACCCATGGTACCTTGCGGCAGCTTCCAAACGCCGGTCACCTATTAGGGGCTCCCCGGATGTCTCATCTAGCTTAGACGACTTTTCGGAAGACGGCATCGGTCTTTGTGCTCTGTGTCACGAACCCCGCTAACCGCAGAGCATGGCATATCGCAGAGCAAGTCGCCGTCCCCCGAGCGGGGGTGAGAAGACTCAGAAGAGCCCTTGCGGGCAAGGTCACTGTGTCGGGAGATGGGAAAATGCCCAGGAGCGGTAATTGAACCCACAAGCTCTGTCTGTCCGGTGCAACGCCTCAGCGGCTAAGGCACTGTCTGGACCAGCAGAGGTTGTAAACTCCTTGTTCATTTTTTCGCAAATTGTTGCCCCCTTGTCCTAAATAGAAAAATCAAAAAGTCGCCCTCTCCACCCTTCATTTTATATTTCAAAACTCGCAAGCCCTGGCGTCACTCTACAGTCAACACCGGAAGAGTGGTTCCCGCTTGCAGCGTCGTCAAATAAATCTACGTATATTGAAGCAATCGCATTTGAATGCATTTACAGGGTGTCCCAGCTATCTCAAAGTAAGCTGAAAAAAAAAAAAAACGGAATGCTCTAGGCGAATGAAACTAACTGTTTGCTTTTAGCAGTCGTCTTGACAAAGACAGTGGAAAGGGGGGGGGGGGTGTCGACCCCCCCCCCCCCCCCCCCGCCCCCGAAATAAAATCCTGGCTACGCCACTGGGTGCGCGTGACCTGCAGACTTGTACCGTACGGATTACAAGTAATCAAATTACTTGTAATCACGAAAATAAACCCTGGAGAAGGGGAACAAGAGGGACAGAGGACAAACACAATTCTCCAAACACAGCTAGGTGACTGGTGCGCGACCGAAAAAATCCGCCTGGTCCGGGTATCGAACCCGGGACCTCTCCATTACAGGTGGAGAGGTCCCGGGTTCGATACCCGGACCAGGCGGATTTTTGAACACAACATATAACTTGTCGTGACAAGTTATATGTTGTGTTTCAAAAAGCACGGTGAAAGCTTCGAGTCATCGCACCGGTGCAAAAGCATGTCACGACCACGTGATTTCTCAATCCGCTTTAGAGTCGAGGATTAAAGCTAAGGAGGAATGAAAACTAATTTCACGACTCCTTTAAGCGTATTACAATACGAATATAAATGAAAAGGGGGGGGGGGGGGTGTATTACGTGAGTGGGATGCTCTGCTAATCTTTGAGGATGTCACTTTCAGCTGAGTCATTGGGTGGTTATTTTTTGTCTCAGCGGCATGGTAGCCTGATAGTGCTCATAACGGCGCGGACGGTGATATCGCACCACTTACCCAACTAGAGAACTACAAGCAGCCGTAAAGCACGTGAATAATAGGCAGTTTCATGATACCCCTAAAACATATGGTTTCGGGAACAATTCTTTTTAAAATAAATGCCACCAAAACGGCGGTCGTCGCACAGAGCTTCGCCTAAAGGCTAGCCCACATGGCGCGTTTTTCTCCGCGTCTGCGCCTGCGTTTTGACGTCACTTCCGGCGCCGGGTAGAAACGCAGCGCTTTTAGGCGCATTCCGGCGTATCTGGAGGAGCCAGATATTTTGGGTCTAGGCGTCGCGTCTCCCGCTGCGTCCAGAAGGCAACAACCAATGAACAGCCGTGTTCACTAGTTGCAAGGAGCGTTTGAGTTTCCGCCACTGTAGGACTGTAGTTTTCGGCACAGACCTTGCGACAATGGGGATAATAATAATAATAATAATAATAATAATAATAAAACTTTTATTCGCACAGATTGCGATACCCACTTCGCAGAGTGCAAGGCTAGGCAAAAAGGTTGATGAGACCCTTGATGAGACGCTGCTAGCCCACCGCCAAGTAGGGAAAGGGATACGGGAGAGGAAAATAAATACAAACTCAAAACAGAAAGATACACGTGTCAAAACGGGTAACAAACCTGCGCCATTCCACAACAAAGCAGAGCAAAGCGCGCGCGGGCGCGCGCATACACACTCGCACACACATACGCGCGCGCACGCGCGGAGTTTACAAAATTTGGACGCCCGCGGCCTTAAAGGCCGCTGTACAAACGGGACGTTTTGCAGGGAAAAACCTTTTCTCCCGAAGCTGGGGCACGGGGAGGGAAAGGGCCAGCGTTGGATGGAAAGGGGTGTATCTCAAAACGTCCCATTCGCATTTGAGCCTTGCACATTTCAACCCATTCTCATTTGGTCCTTCTCGCTTGAACCTTCTCATTAGATCCGAATCGTGTTTTTCGCAACTGGACCCATTCTCATTTCGCCCGTTCGCGCTACGACCGAATGGCGCTAGTTCGGCATGCTTTTAACGTCGTTATGCCTTCGCGGCTTTGTTGATGAGCCTTACCTTGCTTGGACCCCCAACATACCATCAGATATATGTTATGTGTAGAGGTACGCACTGGAGAATCGTATATTGACGCCTGCTTCCCTTCCTCTAAGCAAACGAGAAAAAAAAAAGCGATGAACATTTAATTTGGAAATTTTGTTTGAACAGAAATAGCACACATAATAGCAGTGGTTCTCAATCATTGATGTTTCGCGGACGCCTTGTAGAAAGGCGGAGATGATGGAGGACCCCGTTCGGGGTGAGGGGGATAGAAAGGTATAGGTTATTATGATAATGATTTAATAAATGGATATAACTAAGTGCTAATGTAAAGTAGACTTATCTCATTGACGTACACACGAGAATACTCTCCCGAAAATTGGAACGTTTCTTCTCAACGTGAAGAAAGACAACTAATATCGCCGTGCATGAGTGATGAGACAGGGCTTCGCGGACCCCTAGGATGTCTTCGCAGACCCCCTTTTGAGAACCACGGCATAGAAGTGGTCGCATTGTTCCAAGTCGAGAGATCTCAAACAACGTGACATTTCGGAGTATGATCTGACTGCGATAAATAGTTGGTCTGTTTTATTGTCAGCTAGTAGCTTTTCACGACGACCTCCACGCACTGCTAAAATCCTTAGCAGAGAAAGTATGCCTGTAGCGTGGCTGGAACACACATACACACACAAACACACACACACACACGCACACACAAATTATATCAATGTATTGATATTACCCCCAAAAAACGGTTTTGGTGTAGAAAGAGTCAAGTGCGACGGGTCAAAGCGAGATATTCTTGAGAATCGCTGTTTTGAAAAGGGCCAGGTCAAAAGGGCGAAACTAGAGCGGGCCCAAATGAGGAGGGTTGGAATGCGAAAGACGAAACGAGAAAGGACCAAATGCGACAGGTCCAAGAGAGATATTTCTGAGAATGGTTGTTTTGAGAAGGGCCAAGTGAGAAGGTCGAAACGAGAACGGGCTCAAATGATAACCACCCGATGGAAAGAGCGTCTAGAGAATGGGATTAGTCTCGGGGCGAGCCACCCTCTCGAGAAAGAGTGGGGACGGAACAAAGCTGGCCGTGGGGGTTCCGGCTACCAGGTGGAAGAAAGATAAGCTTGTCAAACGGCGACCTCGGATGCGAGGACGGGCACGTCAGAGAATTTGAAAATAGCTGCTTGATTAGCTGGACGACCCAGTGCGGACTACTGGCTCTAGAAGGTGACTCGAATGAAGAAAACTCGTTTTGCTCCAAAACTCTAATAGCATTCTGGAACGTAAACTCTTGCCACAAATAAAAATAACACATGCATGAAAAACTTCAAAGGCACCTAAGCTTTCGGTGTCGTCCCAATCCGGCTGACGCCTCAATTCGGCTATTGCCTCAATTCGGCTAGAAGTTTAAATTCGGCTGGACGTTCCAGTTCGGCTACATCCTCAATTCGGCTAGAAGTTTCAATTCGGCTGGACGCTTCAGTTTGGCTAAATCTTCAGTTCGGCTACAAGTTTCAATTCGGCTGCATGCTTCAGTTCGGCTAGATCCTTGCTTCAATTCGGCTGGACGTTCCAAGTTGATCAAGCTAGGCATCCAAGCATAAGGTGCCCCCAATTTTTTTAGAGAGACATTAACTATATCTGCATCTTGCCTTAACATTGCAACGTGCAAGCTCAGATCGGTAAGTTCAAGCAGCTACGAAGGCTTTGGGCACAGAAACATTTGTGTTTGTGTTGTTTGTTCTGTGAAGCTGCTGTGCAAACACCAGGTCTCTGCTCCAAAGAAATTTATTCACTTGCCCAAAGAATGGATTACAGCAGACCAAAGATTGCTTCTTCCAGGGCTGGCCACTGCTCACGTGAAAGGGACAGGACTCTTGGCAGCTCCTACGTCGAACTGAGTTGAAGAAAAAAAGAAGATACCTGCATCAGTTATGAGACAAAACAATATGGTAGGGGCTCAATCCAGTGATTTACATCTTCAGGAGGCTAAGGAGAATGTAACAGTATACCTGTAATTTTTTTTCAAGGTCACAAATTTGCCTCAAAATTGGCTAAACACACCAGTAGCTATGACTGACCTCGTAACCAAAACCTTACGTACGCAAAAAATTGTTTGGCGACATTTAATTTTCAAATTCGGTCCTCATCATATTTTCAAAGTGAAAGTTTCTACTGGCAGTATTAAAAATATGGAGGCTCGGGCAAGCTGGTGTTGCATACTCCTCTACAGCGCGAAAAATTCACAACCAAGCACAGGCACACACAAAAGGAAAAGACATTCATGAAGCTCTGACTTGCAACTCAGACTTGTATTATTTCTTCTCTGCCTGTGCCTGTCTTTTTAAACAATAAGATTTTTTTTTGGCTTGATCTGGATGCAAGATAATCTAATTATTTTTTGTAATAAATCTGGACAAGGTTTAGTGACAGTTTTCTTCTAACCTCGAAATCTTTTCAGCTTCAATAACTTCCCTAATTAGTTGGTTATTATTTTTACTCATTACGGGGCAATGTTTTTAGTTCTGCTTGACATCTGCAATCTTGGCAATGTATGCCTTAGTGTCCAGAAGTGATTCTGTTTATGTTGTAGTCGTGTTCCCCTTGTCTA